TAGCCGAAACGCCACCCCGGCTATATGGAAACTATATGTTGATGGTTCATCAAACGCCAAAGGTTCAGGGGCAGGAATGATAGTTGAAAATCCAGACGACGTGGCTGTCGAACATTCCTTATCCTTCGACTTCAATACCACAAATAACCGGGCAGAGTATGAGGCCATGATAGCTGGCCTAATCCAAGCAAAGGAGATGAGAGCCCAGCGCCTCAAAGTCTTCAGTGACTCTCAGTTGGTGACATTTCAGATCTCGGGTGAGTATCAAGCCAAAGGACCACTGATGTGCAAATACTTAGAGAAAGTCAAAGAGTTACTGCAAACCTTTAAAAGCGTTGAGGTGGAGCATATCAGGCGAACTGAAAACACCCGAGCAGATATCATCGCTAAGTACTGGCTGAATCCAGAAAAAAGTCCCCCTCCAGTTCTTATATGAATTGGCGTACTGAGCAAATATCGACCCCAATCTGGTCCCCGCCTTCAGTGAAACCCAGCCAAGCTTTTCAATGAGGGCGACACCTGGAAGCAATAAAAGAACAACCGCACAGAGCACACCCATCCAAAATATTGACATATCTTTTCAAAGACCCGAACAAACGCCCAAGCATTAGGGTGCAGTTGAGAAAGCGCAACCCGCAGATGGGCTAACACCCTCAGATAAAGGAAACCTAACTTTCTGATCCGTAAAGTGAGTCTTGTACACCATGAACCGCCATCGAGGGATCGCCCTATGGCTAGGTTTTTCCCAAACTCGGCCACTGCCCCCAACCGCAATGCTTTGCCATTTCGTCTCTTCTTCGGCACTTTCAGTGAAATCAAAATTGCCTTCTGATCGATAAGCCTGGTCCAAAATAACCCCACTGGTATAACAAGATGAAGAAGAAGCCACCATCGGGTCTACCCACTCCCTCGCCGAGAAGCATTCGTTATCTTCTGCAACCGCCATCAACCATGAGAATACCCACAAATCAAACCTGGGAGCGACAAACACACAGTCAATCGCCAAACACTTCAACCGACGCCAAGAAGATCAACAAAGAGTCAAACTCTAATCCTCCATATCACCCAACTCCTATTCCCTGGACCACCGGCATTCCCTTACCAATAACTCAATCAAAAAACAATCAATAATAAGAAACTTACCAGAAGAGTCTGAGGTTTCCGAAGAGCTCGAGGTGTAAAAATCTGAATAGCTTAAAGAGGAAGGCCACCACGCAGGCGGTATCTTATAAAGCCCCAGGTCTTCATAAATGGCATCCCACACGCCATACCTTATAAGCCTACCATCTTCTGGGTGGTATCTACCTAAACGGTTGTCAATGGATTCGTCATATTTACGGCGATGGAAGGAATGAGAAATGTTGGGAATATAACCACGAGATGTGCTCAAGGCGACTGGAGATGCAACATTTGGCCGGGTTGTCCCTAAGGGTTGAGGCTTGTAATAATACTCTAATGGACGGTTTTGCGGTAGGCGATTAATAGAGGATAAAGGCCGAACAAGTCACCCTACTCCAAAATCGGAACGCCGCGAAAAATGGCGGCGTGATTCGGTCCTCTGATCATAGGAACGACAAGAAGACCTAGCATGACTCCTCCGTGAAGGTCGAGACCCAACCCCTTCACCAGACTCACCAGATCGTCGCCTCCTAGTCCCAGCAGACTGGCGCCTACCAGATCTAGAAGCGTTCTCACCAGTCGCCATCTGGCGCCCACCATTGAGACGGAAACCAGACGCCTCACCCAAGTACGGAAGCACGGGTCCTAAAGCCCTCTCCGGCAAGAGATGTTGAATCTCCTCTTCACTAAAACCAAGAAGCTCAGGAACCCTGCCATGGGGTAACGACTCCACCCCGGGAATTAAAGAACGATAAGAGGGAAAACTACTACCTTCCCCACCACGATTGGCAAGGTATTCCTGCATAGCAGGCCCTACTGCACAGCCATCGAGCGTGTCGAAAGCTTCTTCAAACTCTTCCTCCTTAACATCCACCTCCAACTCAGGCAAGACCAAACCAGGCAGGTCTGTTATCTTGACCATCACCAGAAAAAGGAGAAGAGAAGCGAAGCTAAAGAAGTATAAAGAAATATCAAAGCTACAAGCCAGAAACACTGTACCTGAGATAACGCAGAGAATGAAGAAAGGAGGACCGGCACGAGCACTATCACGAAGGGAGAAAAGTGAGGATGAGGAAGGAAGAAATCGAAGAGCCTGAGATTTGAGAAGAAGGTCCTCAGGAAGGGACGACGAACCTCCTTTAAGTAAGACAAGAAAGATCAAGATGGCGTACACGTGTAGTACCTCACCATTTCGACCGTAGGATAGCGCAACCGTCAGATAATGGGCAATTGTGATGAGAGGCCTGATGGTAATTACAGGGGGACAAGACACCCCTCACGTCGCATTAATGCGCCATGCTTAGTGACGGTTGAGTGCCTGCAGTTATTTGCAATGATGGAGGCACCCATCATTACTGCTCCTCGAAAACCGAAAAGCCGCTTTTCGTGTCAGAAAAGGCGAAAGGCCCAAAATACCCAACGCAGGACAACGCGGCCCGCCAAAGAGACAAATGGTATGAAACCCCGCCTCGAAGCACTTCAAAAGCCCCAAATACTTACCAAGTCACCAAGACACAAGATATCACGCCTACGTGAACCACTCAGATCGCCAGCCAGGCGTCGCCCAAACCCTTTCACCTTGGCGTTAACCACTCAAATCGCCCGTGAGGCGTCACCCGAGCCCGTTTACCTTGGCACCAAGCTACGCTTGCTACCAAGCTGGGGGCTCCTGTTCTGGATGGCCCAACAACACAGCGGCCCAAAGGTCCAAGCCCAATCTCAACTCCCTATCCACGTCAGCCCTACAAACCGTCAACCCTCCCAACCCCCAACGTGATGGCGCTCCCTAGGGGAAACACCAAAATGTCCCGTCTCGGGATCCTAACCCCCAAAGGTAATCGCCCTAGATGCCATAAGAGGAAACTGCACCTTTGTCACACGCTGACACCGCCAAGCGCAGGGGGTGCATTGTTGCTATCGTCGCAGCGCCTGCCACGCCCAGTAGCATCTGCCATCATGAGCAGATCCCAAGAAGGGTTGACCCCATCCTCACCAACCCACAGAAGATTCACATCACCTTCCCCTATAAATAACTCCCTTGGGCACACCAAGAAGGTATCTTATGTATTGTTATTTTGCCCGTTTACATTGAGTCACACATACACACACCTAATCCCATTGTTGATTGCATGCTTCATACTTGGAACAGTGCCTCTTAGCTTGATCTCTACCTGTGCTAAGGGTATCATCCATATAGTGACTCCATCCCCAAAAAGAACATAGTGGGCTTATAGATCCCATCGGTATACTTTGATTTTGGAAGAAATCTTGCAAGTGGCAACAGTTTCCTCGGGTCAATGTAAAACTTGTCACCACCTGAATACGAAGTAGCAACAATCCCTTCCATCATTTTGATAGAAAAGTATTGCATTTCACAGATGAAGTAGAAAGTCAAATCACAACCAAGCTCTATAACAAAACACAAATCCTAGAAGCAACCAACGTGTTAAAATACAAAAGGAGAGAAACTCACATATTCATTGATGGAGCCATTTTATTAGTATTATATCATATCAAATAATAACTTTCTCCTACCGATTTAGAAAAATATAGTGAGCTCCATTTTATTTTTTTTAATGGGACCCACTACATATTTATCTCTATTGCCATAGACATCTTCTATTTTATAAGATAAGACTAACAAACCCAAACATAAAAATAGAAAAATTAAGAAGAGAAGTATAACATAGAGAAGATTATTATTATTATTATTATTTGAAATAAGTAATTTTTGGGAGAAAAAATATCCGTTCAAATACTTTATGATATTCGGATAAAAAATCTTTAATTTTTTTGATTTGTCTTATGTTATAAAGTTACAGCTTGCATTTCTTTGTGATAGAACCAATCTTATTAAAACCGGCTCGATCATTGACCCGGTCGAGGTACTGGGTCACTGGTTCAACCAGTGGGTCACTGGTTCAACCGCATGACCCAGTAATTATATGCAATTTTATAATTTATATTAAAAAATTATAAATATACTCAAATATCTAAAAAAATGATAACAATTTCAAATATTTTAATATAAAAATAATAAATGACATATTATAATACAATAATAGATCAAACAAAAATATAATGATCGTGATACGAGACTTTAGGTTAAGAAAACGACATCTCTAACTATAAATCAAATCAAAATTTTCTGCATAGTGCATAATTGAGATAATATTAGTGTTGTATGTACATAACTTATGTAAGTCAATAAGCAAAAAAATATTTAAATATGTCTATTATAATTTTTTTTTTGAAAAAAAAATTTAGATTTTTTTTTTTTGGAACCGGGCCGGGTCACCGGTTAACTGACCGGATCACCGATTTTCATGAAAACCGACCGGGTCGGACCGAATTGCACCAGTTCTGATGCATAACCAGTCTGTTACTTCAACCAGACCGATTATATGACCGATTTACCGGTTCCCGAGTCGACCCAGCCGGTGAATAACACTAGATAGAACCACGCATAACTCGTGTAGTTCAAAAAATGTTATGTAATAGGAAAATTTCAATAAGTTTCCTCCTAATCACTTATTTGCTCTCTGAAATTTTAAATATTTATTCCTCTAATTTAAAATATTTTTATCAGTTATCCCTCTAATTAGAAAAGTAACTGGTAAAAAAAATTAAATTAAAAGGGTAAATAATAAAAAAAATTAAGTAAAAATATAAATGATTCAAAAAATTTAAGCAGGAAAAAAGTGATTCCAAAAAAATTTTACAAGGATTTTGAGAATTTTTCTGTACATTTTATTGTAAAAACACAAAGAAAAAATATTTTTATATTCTAAAATTGATGATAAATATTTGATCATGTAAAACTCTAATTAACTTCATTTATATTGATACTCAGACAAGATAAATCTTTATAAACCCTAATAGGATGCAGTTACCAAAATAAATAAATAATAATCATAAATAAACCTCACACTCCATACTGAAGTGAATCTGATCCATAATGGTAGTAGCAACCATGGCAAGAGCTCTTTCTCTCTCTTCACTTCGCTTCTCTATCCTCCTTCCCCGCCGCCTCCTTTCAACCACCGCCATCCTCGCCCGACGTCCCTCTCTAGCTCCTCTTTCCCACGCCGCCCGCTTCACCGCAGTCCGGTGCCGAGTGAATCGCGCCGGAAACTCGGCGTACTCGCCGCTGAACTCGGGGTCGGGGTCCAACTTCAGCGAGCGGCCACCGACCGATATGGCCCCTCTGTTCCCGGGTTGCGACTACGAGCACTGGCTCATCGTCATGGACAAGCCCGGCGGCGAAGGTGCCATCAAGCAGCAGATGATCGATTGCTACATTCAAACCCTCGCTAAGGTTCTTGGCAGGTCCACATTCTCTCTTTTTCTTTCAAAGTTCAAAAATTTTCTTTGTTTCTCATACATTTAGGTTATTGGGTATTCTTGCTGGTGATTTTTTTCTTTCTTTTAAGAATGAAAATGAGTCCTTTTTTTTATTCTTCAGTTTTTTTTGGTGTTCTTTAGTTTTAGTTAATTGGGTGTTCTTTTGTGATTTTTTATTTTATTTTTTTTAATGGAAAATGATTTATATTTTATTTGCTATTTGTTTTTTTTTTTTTTTAGAGAAAAAGAGAAAAATTCTTGGATGTTTCAATTAGTTTTAGCTTATTGTGTGTTTTTAAGTGTTACTTTTTTCAGCGTTGATTTTTTTTTTTTTTTGAGTGTTTTAATTAGTTCAAGGTTATTGGGTGTGTTCTCTTGTCACTATTTTTTTGTTTCTAAGCATAGAAAATTGAGGTTCTTTTGTCGAAAAAGGAAAAAAAAAAATCTCGGATGCTTCAATTGGTTTTAGCTTATTGGGTTTCTTTTATGGGTGATTAATTTGAGCATGGAAACAGCTTGTGATAGTGTGGGTTGTTGTTAGTTTTTGTCTGAGTTGTATTTTTCTTCCTGGTTTTCAGTGAAGAGGAAGCTAAGAAGAAGATTTACAATGTTTCCTGTGAGAGGTACTTTGGATTTGGATGTGAGATTGATGAGGAGACCTCTAATAAGCTGGAAGGTCTGTAATGGAAGTGTTGTATGGCTTATTGTTAGTACTTCTTTTTGTTGCATTTGTGTTTACTTTTTCCGTTTCTCTTTGAATAGGGTTGCCTGGAGTTCTGTTTGTTCTCCCAGATTCGTATGTTGATCCTGAATACAAGGACTACGGTGGTGAGGATTTAATGATGCTGTTGTTTAAGCCTTTTTCTTTTGTTTTTCACTGTCTTTTTAACGGTCAATGGGGATTCATTTTTTTTGTACAGCCAGCATTTTTCTTGCAATATTAGGATAATAAGATTGGTGATATATGTTTACCTGTCTAAGTTTCCAAGCTGGGTTTCTCCTTGAAGTAATATAATGTTAAGCATCCTATCCATATTGGTTAGGATCACTAGTGTGACATGCAAGATTTAGCTTTGAGAGTGTGAGTGCTAACTGCTTGCCAACTTAGTTAAATGTGACATGTGCTTTGATGTTTCTATTTAATTTTTCTTAAAAATTCCATTCCATCTTCATCAAGCTAGACAGTCTTACAATGTTTGGCTTTTATGTATGGACTTACATCAAATGTCTCTCTTAACTGTTCTGTGCTTTATATACCTTGTGGAGATGCAGATCAGTGGAGATGAAAAATATAGCGAATGTCAGCCTCTATGTATAGTCTTTATATGCTTTAATGTATGGAGATGCTTTGTCATTCGTATGAATAAAAAGTAGTAGTCTGCTACATGCTTTTTAGCTTGTCATGTTTTCAACATCAATATGTGCGGAAAGTGATCCTATAACCCATGAAACGTTTGCAGCCTGATTAAATTGGTACAAGTAATTGTTTTTTTGAGGAAATTCTCCCTTTATATGTAGTCTACCTTGCCAAAGCTAATAACTCTTTGTGAGTAATGTCTAGCTTTGAATGCTAATATGTAATTTCCACTATCCTGTTCTTTTGCTTCATCAATCATGTACTTGCAGACTAATTGGAGTTGATGCATCAAACTAGATGACATCCCCTTACAACCACTCCTTCATTAGGCCTGTAGTTCCATTTTTACTATTTGATAAATCAGAGGTTAAATGATTTTTTTGGACAAATTTCAAATTCCTAAACTCAAAATTATGTTCACTCTGATGATGATATTCAGGTTCTTTTCTTTCTTTTTTTCCCCCCTCTGCAATCCATACTGTATTTGTTTTTAAAGGTTTTCTCTTTTTAATTTTCATTATCGGTTAAATATACTGGAGACTTGCTTTCACTTGTAGATAGATAGATCTTGCATGGTTAATTCAGGTGATGGCAATGGTATAGCTCTTTTCCATCTCTCTTCCTTCATCAGTAGTCCATCTTGGCAAAGCTAATAACTCTTTATGGGTAATGTTTAGCTTTGAATGCTAATGGACTGACATAAAATTTCCCTCCTATCCTGTTCTGTTGCTTCATCAATCGTGTAGTTGCAGAATCATTGGAGTCGATACATCAAACGGCATAACATCCCCTTACAACAACTCCTTCATTAGGCCTGTAGTTTCATTTCTACTGTTTGATAAATCAGAGTAGAAGATAGATCGTACATGGTTGTTAATTTAGGAGATGGCAGTGGTGTTGCTCTTTTCCGTCTTTCTTCCTTCATCAATAGTCCATCTTGCCAAAGATAATAACTTTTGCTGGATAAGGCTAATTGACCTGTGTGGGTCAAAAATAAAGGAAAAATGAATGACATTTGGCTCACAAGAAGGTGCTCTAGGTCCAGCTCCTTTAAAGAAAAATTGCAAGTGCTGATGTGCGGCAGTCCAATGGCAAATGTGTTGGTCCACGTAGTGCATTCAAACGTGCTAGGTGGACTAGTGCATTTGCCCTGATACTGACATGTGGCAGCACCATCCTACCCTCATTCTATGCTCCACTTCTCACCTCGAGTTCAAATCCTTCAACTTTGCCAGGGGGTCTCCTCATGCTAACCACTGGCATCAGAATTATCTTGTTGGGTGCAGGATCTGACCTGGCAGGTTTAATGATGTTATCAATCTCTTGCCACACGTTGAACTTGTATTGAAAAGCTTTTCTTACGCCACATCAAATGGGAATACATCCCTACCCTCAACAGATAGCACATGAGTTAATCTCTCCATGCTATCAACCTACGAGGGTATAATAATTGTTCTAGCTTTGAAAGCTTATGGGCTGGCATTAAATTTTCCTCATGTCCTATTCTGTTACTTCATCAAGCGTGCAGCTGCAGAATCATTGGAGTTACATCAAACCATATCCTAAATTCATTATACTCTTCACTGTTGATGTTATTCATATTTTGTTTCTGTGTAATCCATATCATAATTGAAAACTTTTCAGTTGTTTATCCCTGTATTTTTTATTTGCTCCCTTAATTTTTTTAATTTTACCATACCAGTGGAATATGTAGGACGAGCCTTGGAGCAGTAGTAAGATTGTTTTTTGTGACCGGAAAGTCATTGGTTCTAATTTTGAAACAGCCTCTTTTCAAAAATGTAAGGATAAGGCTGCTTCCAATTGACCCTCACCCCTACCCTCTTAAGTTATCCTCTTAAGTTAGGGAGCCTTGTGCACTGGGTTTTGCACTTTATACCTGTGGAAGATGGTTTCTTTTGTTATCATTGGTCCCCATTGTCCTATTGTGTTCTTTTGTTGTCATTGGACCCCATTGTCCTATTGTGTACCATGTCTAAGGTTGATAATTCTTTTCAAATGTAATGGTGCAGCTGAATTATTTGTGAATGGAGAAATAGTCCAGAGGCCACCTGAAAGACAGAGAAGGGTGGAGCCACAGCCACAAAGGCATCAGGACAGACCAAGATACAATGATAGAACAAGGTATGTCCGGCGCAGAGAAAACACAAGATGAAGGAGCAGTTGAGTAATAAGAGGGAGAGAGGGATATAGATGCTTTGAAAGACTGGAGTCTCACTATTGTAGTCCAGTCTTTGGATGCCTATATGAATTCATAGTTCTGTTGGTAAATGAAGATGTTAGTAGTTAAACCAGTATAATATCTTTTTTCCTATGAAAAGAATGTTGCACATAAACTATGTCTCTATGGAATGTGTTACTGTTTTTATGTTGCTACTTACCTTTTGCTTGGCCTTTTCTCCTTTGACTGAAGAAAATCAGTTGCCACGATTACCATTTTTGGTTCTTACTAATTTATCAACAAAGAGAAGGGAAAAAAAATAAAATCCCCAAATGTGTTCAATGATTAGGTTTTACTTAATGTAATAGGTCTAATGGCTCTTTGAACAATGTGATCTTTCTCCAATTTTATGGTTTGGGTTGACCCATAACTTATTTTCATTTTGGGATTGTTAATGTCGTTATTCTTCTTGTATCATCACTTTTTATTTGTATTTCTCATTTGAAGGGTGCTGCGAACCCCTCCTCTCACACCCCATTAATAGAATGCCTTTTAAATCACAATCAAGATTCTACTGCCCAACAAAAATAAATTACTACACAAACAGCAATACAGTGTAAAGCTTGTCCACAAGGAAAATGAATCACTTTGGATTCATTAATTTTTCCTTTTTTTTTTAATAGGATAAGATATTATATCTATTTTTTTCATACTCACTTTACCTGTCCATCTTTAATATTATTGGATAAGACTATCAAGAGGAGATAAAAATAATGAAAGTTAATTTTTATTATAATTTAACAGTGTTGAAATAAGTAGGTAAGATAAGTATGACAAAAAATAGGTAGAATATATTTATTTATTTTTTATAGAAAAATAAACCTACTAAAAGGATGGAAAAGCTATGAGCGATGATTTGTGACTTTTGAAAGATAGGGCTGAAGCAGCCAATAAGCCATCGATTAGTAAAGACTCGTACATCTAGATTTTACTGAATAAAATTTGATAAAAAGAGTAAACATAAAATAACATTTATAGTAATATTTAGTCATTATAAATGGAATATAATACGCGTGAGAGTAGTTGTGCGGAGATATTTTTCCAATACCTACATATAAAATAAAACTTGCTACACTGAGTTTTTTTTTTTCCGCGACTCAATGAATAAATTTTTCAAATCTACTCTTTATTTAAACTTGTTGAATGATGGCTTTGAGTATATATATATATATATATATATATATATATATATATATATATATATATATATATATATGGGAAATGTTACTCTCCTTTTACATAAGGGTAACTTATCTCATTTTCTCTCAATTCGATTTCCGTACCTCACTTTCTTATTCTTTTTTTTTGTAATGATGGGACCCACCTAGTTTCTCTCTACAACATAAGATACCTATCTTATGTAAAAGGAGATTAATAAAACCCTATATATATATATATATATATATATATATATATATATATATATATATATATATATATATATATATATATATATATATCGGTAAAAGATTTTTTTAGTCAATGGAGATAAGTTATTTCTAATGAGCCTAAAATGACATCGTTTTGGGATAAAAATCAAGGTGTTTTTTGTAATTCTAATATATTGCAGGGTTATATTAGTCTTTGTCATTATAATTTTTTAATCTTATAATCCCAAAACAAAGTCGTTTTGAGCTCACTATGATAATTTTTATTTATAGTGACGGGAGAAATATTTTTTTCATATATATATAGGGATCTATTTATATCATGTTGCATGAGATAATTATCTCATGCAACATAAACAAGATAGTGGGGTCCACTATTTTTAAAAAAAAAAAAATAGTGGATCCCACTATTTTATCTCTGTTGCATGGGATAATTATCTCATGCAACATGAGATAATTATTTTTCATATATATATATATATATATATATATATATATATATATATATTTGGGATAAGATAATTTTCCTACCCTTAATTTGCCTACATTTGTCTACCTCTCTCAACACAGTTGGATTATAATTTCATTCAACGGTAGAGATTTGCGGGATAAAATAAATTATTTTATCCATTTATTTCTTCTCACTGCCTCCCACTTTTTCTCTCTCCTCTCACCCCCTCGATGACCATCGTCTTCGTCAAGCCTATCATCAATTTTGGAATTTTATAAAGAACAAAGTCAAAAATTCGAAATTTAAAAAGTGTTTCTCTTTCGCCAACAATCATCTTTCCATTGACAAAATCGTAAGTTAAACTATTCTGAATTGTCAGAGTTTGCTAATTAATTATGTATGTCGAATTCACATTATTATTTAATTGTGGATCTTCGGCCAATTCGTTGATTTCATCATCATGCAATTTTGTCGAGTCACTTGCATTCATACTCAGTTAGTTCTTGAAGCTCCATTGAACAGAGAGAAAACTAGGATTTAGTATTTGAATAATTGTAATACCATTGGCATCTTGGGCATCAACCATGTGTAACAGAACTATTTTACCAGAATCATAACATATATATGTGAACAAAAAATCAATTCAAACTCACAAGGGATTTCGATCGTATATGCTTTTCTATCTCTGTCTTCGTTGATAGAGAGAAAGGGAGGGAGGCAGTGAGGAGAAATAAAAGGGTAAAAGGATTTATTTTATCCCACAAACTCTACCGTTGGATGAAATTATAATATAACGGTGTTGAGAGGGGTAAGCAAATGTAGGTAAATTAAGGGTAGGCAGAATAACATATTCCTATATATATATATATATATGAGTTCTTTTTTCTGCAGTGAATGCAGATAAATTATCTGTATTGAGCCCAAAACGATGTCGTTTTGGGGCGGAAGTTAAGTTATTATCTAACAGTGTTTATCATTATAGTTTTTTAATCTTTCAACCCAAAATGACATCCTTTTGAGAGTAAATGTATGTAACTTATCTGCATTCACTGTAGAAACATTAAAGCATATATATATATATATATATATATATATATATATATATATATATAAAGAGAGAGAGAGAAATATTTCTTTAACCATTTGAGATAAACTTATCTCTGACCACCCAAAAACTATGTTGTTTTAAGGGTTGGGGGAATTAATGAAAGGTATTTACGTAACTTTTTTTTTATTATATGAATTTTACCAAAACACCCTTCATTAATTCTCTCAACCCTCAAAATGACATAGTTTTGGAGTAGTCGAAAATAAACTTATCTCAAGTGGCTGGAGAAACGATAAGCCCATATATATATATATATATATATGTTGGAATAAGATATTTCACCTTTTTTTAAATTCTTATCTTACCTGCTCATTTCCTACACCATTAAATCTGAATCTCAATTATCCTTAACCTTTTCTCTTTCCTCTTGAGATTCTAATTCAATGATGTTAGAGATTACTAGGTAAAGTAGGCATAAAAATATATATGCAAAATATCTTATCCCATGTATACGTATGTAGTTAATTCTTGTCCTAGTTTATGCTAAAATCAACTTCATCTTCATTGAATTTCATGTCTATGCTCACAATTTTTTGTCGTTGTTGTCGAATAAAAATGTGCATATATTTTTTGCAGTTGAAATTGTTTAGCTATTTTTGGATATACCGAAGATCTAGCTTGCTCCAATCTTTTTTTTTTTTTTGAAAGTAAAGGAATTAAACTAACCCGAGTTACATAAGTTTGGGCCAGAGATATCAAGTTGGTTCTTGAAGAGTTCTACACTCCAAAGGTGATTCTTGAAGAACATGCATTTCCCAGTCAACATCCCAAAGGGCTGCCAAGGGTAGGAAGTGATTGCCAGTGCAAAAGAAGCATGGACAATGAGCGACTCATGTCAAATCTTGCAGCTAAGGGGTATATGAATGAATCGAATCAACACCCAAAAGAGAGGAATTCCAGAGATTGTGCAGCTATGAGACTGTATAGTTGTGGATAGCTTATAAGAATTAATTAGTACTACCTATACAAACAAGATGCATCTATTTTTTGCTAGCCCAGAGCATAAGAACTCCATAGTTAAGCGTGCTTGACTTAGAGCAATTATGCGATGAGTGACCTCTTGGAAAGTTTTTCGATGAAGTGTGTGAATGAGGAAAAAGCACGCTGAAAAATCTCATGTTAATTTATGGGCACATTCATTGATCCTTGAAGTAGCCGGGCGTTACACCATTTACTCCCATGCAAAGCCAGAGCGTCTGCTGTAAGAACCCGCACCGTTAATTAAGGTATTTAATTAATTAATTATGCAAAAATAGGAAATGATTCCATAATGGATCCTAATAATTATCTATGAGGCTTAATAATCATAATAAGTGATTAAGAATGCGTGATTAAGAAAGTCGCTTTTCGGAGGAAAAGTGCAGATACCGGTTCTGCTAGTCGGTATAAATGCGTGCCAAAAAAGTATCCTGGAAAATTAATGTAAGTGCATGATAATTACTAGAATAATATGTAGGACTTTTAAAATGAGTTTCAAGTCCAAATAATGAGAACTGGTGCTAGAAATCGGTACTGGCTTTGAAAAGCGCGTACCGAAAAGGTGCTCAGAAAAATATAAGAAAAATATGATAAATCTTAGAAAATTATTTAGTTTCATAATCCAAAGTTTGGGATTAAAATGCTAAGCGTAGCAATTAAAGTTAATACTGTGTGCTTAAGTGAGTTTTGGCTATAAATACACTTACTAAGGGCACATTGCTCTAGATACCAGAAAACCAGCGTGAGTTCTCCTTGGTGGCTGACCTCCTATACTGTTCCATTGCCATTTGCTCCATTTTGAGACTTTGTGATCATTGTATGCTTGTTTCTTCTTAAAACCTTCTTCCTAAACACTTGTTCTTGTTTGAGTGAGCCTTGAAAGGTTGGAAGACACCATTTTTCTGAGTGATCAGCCACTGTTCTTGTTTGTTTGGGGGCTGACCTTGGTGGTTGGGTTGAAAGAAGCCTTGTCTTGGGTTTGGTGGTCCAAGTGTTGATCTTTGGTGCTAAATGGTCAACCTTTCTTACCATTTTCGTGCATCCTCTTGTGACAGTAGCTTGAGACTGATTGTGAGCTCCAAAGGGCAACCTTTCCTTCTGTTTTGAGCTGGGGTATGTGTACCAACCTTTAACTTGAGTTTTAAGGCTTAAAAATGGAAGCTTGATGCATGTTAAGGTTAAAAGATGATAACTTGTTGTTGGGTAAGGCTTAACACATCTAGAAATGCATGATTAGGTGTTTAAAATCGGTAAAAAGGGAACCT